TCAGAATCACGGTAGGAAATATGTATTGTGGGATGATCCCCAGATTCTGATTGCTCAAAGTGAGCATGACCTTTATGTGTTCTTTGACAATCACTGACACTGATGGAAGTCTCAATTGGTGGTCCCCAGTCTCTAACCTCATTCAGCTTTTTTTACTGACTTTAATAAGGATGTACGCAGCATACTTAGAAAATTGGCCAATGACACAAATCTGGATAAGAAAACAGATACTTAACATACTGAAAGCAAAAATTAAGCTCTGAGTGATCTCAGCTTGTGAAATTATAGGATCTTTCTAACAAGATTTTTTTTGTATAAAAATTCTACTGTGCAGATAGAGAATGTGAGGTGAATATTGGAAGAGGTGTATTGTTGTACAGCCAAGTATTTAAAAAACTGAGGGATTATAGTTGAAAGTAAATTTAACATGAATCAATTGAGTGATTTGACAGCACAATAACAATATAAGCACTTAGGATGAATTAATAGAAATAGTATTCAGGACAATGGATGTGATGAATACATTTTATCCTGCTCTGATCAGATGACACATACACATTCGTGTTATTTATTTATTTATTATTTTGAGACAAGGTCTTGCTCTGTTGCCCAGGCTGAAGCGATCTCGGCTCACTGCAGCTTCAACCTCTCAGGCTCAAGCAATCCTCTCACCTGAGCCTTCCAGGTAGCTATGACTATAGGCACATACCACCATGCCTGACTAATTTTTGTATTTTTGTAAAGACAGTTTTTGCCATGTTGCTTAGGCTTCTCTCAAACTCCGGAGCTCAAGGGATCTGCCCTTCTTGGCTTCCCAAAGTGCTGAGATTACAGGTTTGGGCCACCATGCCAGGATCTATTATTTAAAGAATATTCTCTCATCTCTTTTCTTTCTCTTGCCGGATGGCAGCATTACATGGGTTGGGCAAAGGAGAGGAGGTCATCTGAGAAAGGATGGTCCAGTAGGAGTTGGGGCTTGTACAAAGTAGGTGCCTGAGTAGGGCACTGGCCCAAAAAAGATTGAAAAATTAGATATATGAAGATGATGGGAGCCATGTTTTTCCATTGTTAGAGGGAAAAAAGTGTATGTTTAAAAAGGGGGAAGCTAGAATAAACCCTATGGTGTTAGACTGGAATTGCAGGACTGTTGCAAACTCATGGCTTTTAATATATAAAAATAGACATAGAAATAAAGATGTAAATTTGTATACATACATATGTATAAAATATGTATGAAAGGGAAAAGATAACTCACAGAATGGGAGAAAATATTTGTAAATCATAGATTTGATAAGGAGTTAATATCCAAAATTCTTAAAGGACTCTACACCCTACACACAAAAAAAGACAGACCAATTAAAACATGAGAAAAAGCCAAATAAATTAAATACTTAGGCATAAATTCAATAAAATATTTACAATATCTCTATGAGTGCAGCTACAAAGCTCTGATGAATTAGAGAGGAACTAAGTGATTCCTAAATAAATGGAGGGATATTCCATATTTATGGATAGGAAGACTCAGTGTGGTTAAGATGTCAGTTATTTCCACCTTGATCCATAGATTAAATGCCATCCCAGTCAAAATTGCATTAAATTATTTTGTGGATTTTGACAAAATGCTTCTAGAGTTTATATGGGAAGGAAAAGAACCTAGAGTAGTCAACAAAATACTGAAGGAGAAGAACAATGTCAGAGGACTGAACCAACTTGACATTAAGATTTATTGTAAAGCTACAGTAATCAAGACAGTGTGGTATGAGTGAAAGGACAAACAAAGACACCAGTGGAACAGAATACAGAGCCCAGAAATAAACCCAAACAAATATATAGTTAACTTATCTTTGAGAAAGGAGCAAACACAATACAATAGAGAAAAGATAATCTTTAATATATAGTGCTACAACAAGAGATACCCACATGCAAGAAATAAAGAGAATCTAGGCATAGACCTTTTATACCCTTCAAAAAATTAACTCACAATAGATAATAGACCTAAATGTAAAATTCTAAAGTATAGAACTCCTGGAAGATAACATGGAAGAAAATCTAGTTGGTGACAACTTTTTAGAAACAATGCAAAATGCACAATCTATAAAAAATTGATAAGCTAGACGTTATTAAAAATAAAAACTGGCTGGGTGTGGTGGCTCATGTCTGTAATCCCAGCACTTTAAGAGGCCAAGGTGGGTGGATCACGAAGTCAGGAGTTCGAGACCAGCCTGGCCAATATGGTGAAACTTTATCTGTACTAAAAATATAAAAATAGCCAGGCGTGGTAGCACATGCTTATAGTCTCAGCTATTTGGGAGGCTGAGGCAGAGGAATCACTTAAACCTGGAAGGTGGAGGTTGCAGTGAGCTGCAATCGTGCCACTGCACTCCAGCCTGGGCGACAGAGTGAGACTCCATCTCTAAATAAATAAATAAAATAAAAACTGCTCTGCAAAAGACACTGTCAAGAGAATGAGAAGACAAGTATCAGGTAGGAGAAAATATTTATAAAATACATATCTAATAAAGAACTGTGATTCAAAATACAAAAATAACTCTTAACAACAGAAAATAAGAAAAACAATGAGAAGAAAATAATCTGATTAAAAAATGGGCAAAAGATCTGAACTGCTACCTCACCAAAGAAGAGGCAAGTAAGGCATCACAAATGGCTTTAACCATATAGATTTGACAAATGGCAAATAAGCATATAAAAAATCTCAACATCATGTCAATAGGTAGCTACAGATCAAAATAATGAGATGCCCATTAGAATGGTGAAAATCCCAAGCACTGTCAACACCAAATGCTGGTGAGGATGTGGAGTAACACGTAGTCTCATTCATTGCTGGTGGCAATGCAAAATAGTTTAGCCATTTCAGCAAAGTTACTCCGTTTCTTACAAAATTAAACCTACTATATGATCTATCTGTCACACTCCTTGATATTTACCCAAACAAGTTGAAAGCTTACATTCACACAAAAACTTGCACACGAATACTTGGAGCAACTTTTTCATAATTGCCAAAACTTTGAAGCAATCAAGCTGTCCTCTGACAGGTGATTGAATAAACAAACTCTGATATATCCAGACAATGAAATATTATTCAATGCTAAAAAGAAATGAGTTATTGAGCCATGAAAAGACAAGGAAACTTACAGGCATATTATTAAATGAAGGAAGCCAATCTGAAATGACATTCACCTATATGACATTCTGGAAAAGGCAAAACTAGAAGACAATTATAAAATCAGTGGTTTCCAGATGTTTGTGGGGAGGATGGGGTCAATAGGCAGAGCACAGAGGATTTTCAGGGCAGTGAAGCTAGTCTGTGTGAAACTATAATGGTGGATATAGGTCATAATACTCTTTTCCAAACTCAAAAAAGTACAACACCAAGAGTGAATCTGTAAACTATGGACTTCGGTTGATAATGTTGTGTTCATGTAGCTTCATTCATGGTATTACTCCTGTGTTGGACTCTGATAGTCCCGGAGGCTATGTATACGTGGGGGCAGGCAGTATATGGGAGCTTTCTGTACTTTCTGCTTAACTTTTCTGTGAAGCTGAAGGTTTATATTTATAACGTCACTTACAACCATTGAGAGGCAGTCTAGTCTAGTGGGGACACCAAAGCCAGGTTGTCTACATGTGCATTCAACTTTTCTACTTGTTAGCTTCGGCAAGTCATTTATTTAAGCTTTCTGTGTTTTCTTTACTATAGATTAATTATAGTACTTTTCTAATGGAGTTGCCGTGAAAGTTAAATGAATTAATGTGTAAGAATTGATTGGCATGGAGCACAGCATATAGTAAGTGTTCGATAAATGTTAGCAAACCAAAATTCTAATCTTATTTACCACCATCCTTAACATTAACTACCCTTTAGCCTCACTCCTTCTGCTCTCCAAAATCCACTTCCAGCTCAGACTCCTTGAACTCTTTTTCTCCCTGTATTTTATTATTGCCATTAACATTTGCTTTGCCAGTAACATATTGTTCTTTTCAAGGTAAACAAAATGAAGCGGTTTAGTCACTTTTCCCTCTTTCCCTTATTTATCCTTAATTCTTCACACAAGCTGACAAATGCAGAATTTCTCTTAGCAGTAAAAGGAGGAATATGTGGCTGTGAGAACTCAGAAAAAGCATCTAGGAAAGTAAGAATATCTATATTTGGTGTTAGGAAAATGGCCATGTTGATTTTGGTAACAGCTGACATATATTGAGTATCACTGTGTGCCTAGCACTGTGCTTAGGTGTTTTACATGTATTACCTAATTTAGTTCTTAAATTAATTCCTGTGTTTTTCCAACTTTTCAAAATTTCTACAATGAATATATTGCTCCTATAAGCTGAACATTTTATATGCAAATGTATATTCATAAAATAGTAAATAGGCCCTGTTAAGATGAAAGTCATCAGTTTGGCGATGATTCTAGGAAGCACTCACTAATGAGATTTTGTTTAAAGGGTTAGGGATGCTCTACTTGGAAAGAAGGGGGATTGTGGAGTGCATTAGACATGCTAGCTATTTTTACATATTTTAAAGACAGAGGAGGAATTTGACTTGGTCTCTTTGGCTTCAAAAAATGAGCTAGCACTGTTAGAAAATTCAAGGGAGGCAAGTTTTTGCTTAGCTTAAGAATGCCCTTTCAGACAATTCTATCCCAAATAGCAATTATCTAAACCAACAACAACTTACAGATTCATGCATCCAGGAGAAGGCTGGAGGAGGGGAAACCTAAAGTCATTTTCAATTCTGAAATTCTGTGTTTATATTAATGCAGACTAATCAGAGAGAAGAGCCGATTTTTGTTGAAAAAATTTGATTCTATGTCAACTTTGGGAAAAAAAAATGTAGTATCTGGGTAAGTGAAGAATGATTGTGAAGCTTATGGACTGCTTCAGTGGAATCGTAATATTGTTATCAGAAAATCAAAAGGCATGCAAAGCAAAAATAGAACGGCTTATTTATGCAGCAGTTAGAAAGATGACAGAACACATACCTGATTTAAATGCTATTCACTCCCTCCCTCAGGTTGGTCTGCACACCCCCTTCCTTTAATTTTCCGCACTCTCCCTATTATGATCTTTTGCATAATTGACATTCTCTTGCCATGAGATTCAGTCCTGTTCCTATCTGTGCCTTACGTGTGGCACAGATAGGAACAGGACTGAATCTCATGGCAAGAGAATTCAAATGGGCTTCCTCGCCAATTTGAATTGCTTTATTCCGTAAAGCAGAGACTTCTACTGGGGTTAACTTTGTTGAGCAACAGATCTACCCCAGATTCCGCTTCGCCTCCAGTCCCGTTTGCTGTAGGACACCAACCTCCCGCTCACTGTGTCACGGCTCTCACACAATAGGAGTCGTTGCAGCCCGAGCCCTTCTGTCCTCAGGTCTGATGGCTGCAAATCCTGGCAAAGCTGTGAAGCCCGCGCAGGGCACCTTCAGCAGCCTGGGCTGGGCCGGACGCAGGGCTCCAGCCAGAGGGCGCCAGCACCCACCAAGCGCAGAAGCCCGGGAGGACCATCCAGGGGCACCCCAACATTTCCTCAGTTAGCCAGAGTTGGGAGACTCAGATATCTGGTAAGAAGAGTCTTTCTCCTAGTACTTCCCAGCCAGTTTGCTTCTCTGCCTGTTTCTTCTGGGTTGTCGCTGCCCCTCACCCTCAGCTCAGCATGGGACCCCGAGGAGCCTCTCCCCGCTGAGGCCGGGACTCCTGCGGCCAGGCTCCCACGCAAGGTCCCCGGAGGCCCCTGCGGCGTCCCGGGCACCTGAGGTCGAAAGGAGGGGTGAGGGGCTGAGGGTAGGGTGAGAGCCCCGGAGGTGCGGTGGGTGGGGGACCGAGGAGGGCGCGGGGTCAGGAGGGAGGAGATGAGAGGAGGCCAGACAGGGGCTTTCGGTTTCCCTGGGTCTGATTGGAGGTTGGCCCGATGAGTCGGAGCTAGGGACGCGCCCATCTCCGCCGGCTCCTGCAAGAGCCGCCGGCTCAGCCCCTCCCTGGAGCCGCTTTGTCCCGGGTGAAGGCGGCGGAGGTTGCGGGGAGGAGCGGGCAGCAGGCAGAGACCCACCGACCCACGGCCGCGGAGAGCAGGAGGCGGGGCGCGCCGCGCACGGCCCCACGCCCAGGCTCGCCGGCACCGCGCCGCCCCCACGCGCTCGCACCGGCGGGCAGGTGAGCAGGCAGCGCCGCGCGCGAGCAACCAGCCCGGCCCCCGCAGACGCCCCAGCCACCGCCTCCGCCTCCGCCTCCGCCTCCGCCGGCGCATCGCGGACGCCCAGCAGGTCGGTTATGTAACCGTGCCGGCCAGGCTCGCCCAGGCACCCCGTCCCACCGGGGCTGACAGCAGCGCCTGGGTCGTTCCGGGGGACCGCGGCAGGGGTCTGGCCAGTTGGGCCGGGGCCGGGGGCTGGGTGGGGGCGGCGGGGGTGGGGGTTGTCTCCAGATCTGTGGTCTGTCCCGGCAAAGGCCGTGGGGACGGAGATCTCCCGCGACCCCCCTCTAGGGGGCGCGGGTCCCAAGGAGCCCCTTTCCCACTGCCAGTGGCCCGGGGTTCGCCTCCCTGGTAGCAGCAGCAGCAGGTGCAAAAGTGAAGGAGCAAAGGTGACGCCTGTGATCCCGGGACTGAGGCTTAGAGAGGGGGCTAGAAGAGGCTAACTGGATACAGAGAGCAAAGAAGATCGGGAGAGCCTTTCTTCCCAATTCAGAGGCTGGGGAGTGGGTAGGTGCGTTGAGGTGCAGCGGGCTGAGAATTGTCCTGCTTGGGATTAGCGGGCTTGGGTCATCTAAAAATAACTTCAAGTTTGAAAAGTGAAATGGACTGGAGCGCAATGTGCCGGGTTCGCCCTGCCGGTGGGATGCTTCGCTCCAGAAGTCACCAGAGGGAACAGGCAAATCCCAGTCGCCTGATCCCTCGGCTACCTCCAGGTCTCGCTGGTTTCCAGGGTGCCTTGGTTTGCCTTATAGTTAATGATTTATTCTCCAAGGCACTTCTGTCTTTTTCTTATATCAAAATCAATTATAGAAGAGTGCGTGCTTTGAATCTTCCCTGTTTCTTACAATGAGATAGAGGTGTTCAAAGGACATCTAATGAGTTTGCTGCCAAATCAATTTTTTTAAAAAAGTCGTAGTTTAGTAGGCTAAAAAGTTTCTGGGATTCCTTTAATATGCATTCTCACAATTTTCCACAATTGGAGACGAAGAGATGTCACAGCATTCCAGCTCACACTTCTCTCTCCCTTCAGCCAGAATTCCATTTAACTTATGTAGAGGGGAGGCTTTAGGAAAAGTAGGGCAACTTTAACAGTGCAACTCAAGTTTCACACCTTTATGATCTTTTATTACATCAACTTCAAAACGAAGAACAAATGTATCATAAGGCACCATGCAAGACTTGCTAACCGGCCTTTGCAGTCTGCGGCACAGTGAAGTTGGAAATACCCAGAAGCTGGAAAGGATCAAGAAGCAGGTCAGCATTGATGATGGAACTAGGCAAGGGAGTGAGCATTTGGCTGCTTTTCAGCATACTTATTGATTTTCTTTAGCCTTAGAGCTATTATATTAAGTATGATCAGCCATTGAGTTCAATTAGCCTAAAATGTGAGTTGCACTTTGCTTTCAAATCCACTGCAAATCAAATCAGCATTTATTGAGCATCTACTACCTGAGTCCAGTCCATAGAATTCTGTAAGGGAAAAGTGTTCTCCTCTAAAGCTACAGGACTCTAAGAGCTTAGTATGTGCAGGTCCTGCAGAACCCACCTAAATTTGGGAGGACATGACTCTCTCTCCAGTGATGAACACTTAACAGAAGTGGGAACTTGAGAGCTTTCTCATTTGCAAGTGCACATCACAGTGTTAAAAACCACTTGCATAATCATTTGCAGATAGTCACACATATTACGGATTCTTTTTACTGAGACTAACATTGACAGTCACTGAGGTCTCGTTTTCCTATTCCTTTTACTTTCTGTAGCATCCACTTGATCTATTCAGTAGTTATTTGTTGAGCACCTACTGTGTGCTTTGTAGGTCCTGCGCCAGAGGCTAAAAGAATGAGGCCCATGCCTCCCAGAAATCAATCTAGCAAAAAAAGGAGAAGAAAATAAATAATAATGATTCAACATCACTAGTGTTTAATGAAGATAGAAACAAGTTTAGGGAGAGTCAACAGAAGAAAAACTGGAGGGAATCTGGTAGACTCTGAAGAAGAGTTCACCTTTGTTCTTGATCCCAATAGGTAGCAGGAGTTGTCTAGGGAAGGGGCTGGGTCTTCCACATTGAAGGGACAGCATACACATATGGTAGAAAGGTCACATTCAGAGGACACCCATGTGTTTTGAGGGAAGACAAGAGAGGTTAGAAAGGTTTCACTGAGGCTGGTTTGTGAATATACCCTGCTACGGAGGTGAAACCATGTAACCCTGAATGGTAGAAATGATTTCATCTAGCTTACATTTTGCAAAAGTGACTTTGGAGGTATGAGGAGGTGAGGTTGCAAAAAGGGAGATTTTAGAGCATTGGAATGGTACAGGCCAAAACAAAACCAAACCCCCCAAAACTCATAAATGAAATGTGCCTGAACCAGATGACCTGGAGGAAAGAGGAGAGATTCATACAGAGCCATTTTAGGGGGAGGATCAGTAGTACTGGTCACCACATGGATGGTGGTATGGAAGGAGAAGCTTAGGTGTCTAGAGGATGGTCAGGCTTTTAACTGAATTAGGAAGTAAATGAGAACAAGCAGATTTGAGAAAGATGGAAATTTTTTATTTTGAACAACAAAATGAAAATGTTCAGTGGGCACTTTTGTTTTCAAAGGTAATTTCCTCATTTCTGATGCCAACCTTCTACTGATCTTATTTCTCTTCATTCCTGAGACTATGTAGGGCTGCTTTTAGACAAGAAAGAGAGACAGAAAAATAAACAAACAAGAACCAAAAAAAAAACTTTTTTTTTTTTTAAATGGAGTCTTGCTCTGTTGCTCAGGCTGGTGTGTAGTGACACAGTCTCAGCTCACTGCAACCTCCGCCTCCTGGGTTCAAGCGATTCTCTTGCCTTAGCCTCCTGAATAGCTGGGATTACGGGCACACACCACCATGCCCAGCTAATTTTTGTCTTTTTGGTAGAGATGGGGTTTCACCATGTTGGCCAGGCTGGTCTCAATCTCTTTACCTTGTGATCTGCCCACCTTGGCCTCCCAAAGTGTTGGGATTACAGGCCTGAGCCACCATACCTGGCCAGGAGAGACAAACTTAATAGCAGGAAGTTGTTTCTACATTTATCCCCAAAAGTAATAGTATTAACTCAGTTATTTGAATTACTACTAGATGTAACAGTGATAATAATGATAATGATAATGTCTAAGATTTATTCAGTGTTTACTACATGCTGAGCACAAAGAAGTTAGAACTGTACATGGTTTATCACATCTGATCTTCTCACTAGCCTTATGAGGCAGGCACTGTTGTTATTCTCAGATGACTAACAGGAAAACCAAGGCAAAGAGAGGATACCTTGTGCAGGTCACACAGTTTGTAAGCTGTGCACCCAGAATTGAAGCCCAGGCTCTGACCAGCATCCTGAATTGCCAAGGTGAATTAATAGCATTAAAATAAATCTTTTTTATCCTGGACTGTGTTTTTTTGCCCTAAGTTTGGATATTTGTGGCTGACACCACAAAACAGAACTAGACTGAGTCAGGAGTCCTGGCTTTTGACTGGGCTCTACACCTTATTTGCTGTGTGATGTTTGCAAAGGCACATCCCATCTCAGGCTTTCGTTATTTTAAATCAGTATATTCATGGAACAAGAGGTTGGTTAGATGCTCTCTAAGGAGTCATGACATTCTGAAGTCTTGCTATTTGCTTTCTCAAATTCTACTACTAGAACCATTGGTACAGGTTAAGATTGTACCTGTCTGGTCACTTAGAGGATAGAACTACCTCAAAGAGGATGAACACAAATGGTGGCTTCTCCTTAAAGCCTGGTATGAACTGATCCATCTTACAGAGCTAATAGGAGTGACTGAGGTTGGGGAAACATGGTTCTGGAAGGGGAATCCTGCATGGGCACTAAAATAGAGGAATCTTCATGGTCACTTACTGCTTTCTTTTCTTTAGACATGTTACTTTAACTCTACCAGAGTTTCTT